GGAGATGTCTTTATAAGATATATGGTACTGAAGAAATTGAACCAGGAAGTGATAGATATTTGGTAAATACCATATCAATAGCCAGTAAAATTGGATAGGACCAATGGCTTGTTATTATTAAAGAAATCTAATCGAAAAACTGACATATCTTGAGACCACAAGGACAACTAGAGGAAAAATGAGAAAAACAGATTATTTTATGACTCGGAATGTTAGAAATGGAACTACATATGAATCCATAACGAGGACTGCGTACATTATGGAAATATTGCTGTAAATGTATTAGAGTAAAGGATGATTTTTGTATTTCAATAGTGGGCATCTTACAGTACCTAGCAATCTGATACTTATATTTACATAGTAGCAGAAGATGATTAACTATTAGAAATTCAAAGACCAAAGTGTAGACCTATTCATTCTACCGAACTTTAAGCAATCATGCTCACAATCAGCTCAAACGGCCTCACTGCCACATATGTAGATAAAAGCACAGCTCACACACAGACAGCCACAGAGCGCTGTGCTGTCTTTGATGTGGCTCTGGGTTCATCCCTCTTCATTACCCTGACCTACATCTAGCTCGTGGCTTGTTCCTGCTGCATTACATCACCTCAGCCCACTCTCCAAATAAAACCCTCCAAACCCCAGCACAACAAAGGAAAAAAAGGATCTGAACTGATGCAATATGGCCCCCATGGAACTTTTCACTCAGCTCCCACTGCGCCGGTCTGTCTGCACACTTTACTGATGCAAGAGAAAAAGTCTTTGTCAGACTGGGTTCACTGCAGCCTCCTCACCTCCATGATGACTTCAGAGAACACAGAGATGGAGGGATGATGGAAGATAAGCAGGAAGTGACACTGGCAGAGTATACCAGTTTGGTTGTTTGTGTGGTCCACTCAGGACAGTCAGCCATCTCTCTGTTATTTTTAAAATATAATCAATCAACTGTCAAGACAGAAACCTGATGTAACAGCAGAAAGCTGTAGGTGATCATTTATCATTCTGCTTTGGCCTAAACGTACACTACATGCATACTATTTATTAAACAGCTTCTCATCTTTATGCTAATGAAGGGAGACTACGGAGACAGGCTCTCCATTTTACAGCGGATCGTAGTATCTTAATCTGTCCTCTAGAAACGTTGGAGTTGCAGACACCTTTCTAGACTGCTTCATTTCGGTCCTCTCAAACAGACAATTTAATCTTTTAATTTCATATTCAATTCAATTCAAATTAGCTTTACTGGCATGAATGTATAACAACAATATTGCCAAAGCATCATACAAACTACATCAGAACAATCAACCCCATACATTTCATTAAACAAGTAATTAAAGCGTAATGTAATTAAAGCGTGTGTATGTTTGTGGTTGTCCTCACTTCATGGCATGAGGAGACATATTTCGCAGCAATAATTTCACATTTGGGCATTTCTCCCAGTAAATAAGGGAGTTTCTGTGTGTCTGATATAAATTCGAATTCGGGGTATATTTGGGAAATGTTTTTTTGTCTTAGTGTTTTATATTTAGGGCATTAGGTTAGAAAGTGCAGCTCTGTCTCTACCTGTCCTCTACCACAAGAGGAGAGGCTCTGCTCCCAGTGTGACATAATCATAATCAACTGTCCCTCTGAAGCGTAGAGTACCTCAACAGTCTGTTCTAAGTCTTCTTATATTTTGACATGATTCATGCTACATGATGAATATATTATTGTAACTTTCATTGCTATGCTGATGACACAAAACTTAATGTACCTGTAAAAATTGACATATGTTATACAATGAACAAAATTATAAACGCAACATTTTTGTTTTTGCCCCCATTTATCATGAGCTGAACTCAAGAGAGAGGTCCAACTGCAGACCTCCACTGTCAGGCCACCCAGTTTTTTACGTCCCCACAGGACGTAAAGTGATGCATTCTCGGTTCTTTAGCTACTCTACACATCGCGACAGCAGTAGGTGACTGGTTAGCATTATCCAAAACATTGAGTAAAGTCTGAATGCATTACTCTTGGTATATGTTTGCCGTCAACAGCTACCGATGTCAGTATTGTACATCTAAATCACACAAATTACAGAATGTTACACTTGTGTAAGTTAGGTTATTTGTCGTTCTACATAGGCTACGCCAACAGTGGCTAGCGTTAGCTCCTGAAGTAGCAGGATTAGCTTTTTTTCCCCCTGTGGATAATGTAAGCTAACGTTACTCATAGACTGTAAGCTACTGTGTGTTCGTTTTTTGTAAAGCATTTTGCAAGGGCATAGGTTTGCATTTGTCATAACATGTTGACGACACTTAAGTTAGTTATTTGTCCAAAAGATGACAGAATAAAAATCTATATGGTTTAGACCGTTCGGTGTAAAGTTAGCTTTTCTCACTTAACGTTACACAGTGTGCAAAGACTTTGCTGGCTGTATGAATTGATTTTAGTTGAATTGAAGTTTATGTACTATGATAGTGTTTCCTACCCTTTCCTGAAGAAAGTTTCCCCCTGTCCTGCATGATTTACTCTCTCCCTGCTTCAACACAGCTGATTGAAGCAGCTTCAGGATTCATAACAAGTTGATAGTTTGAATCAGCTGTTTTGGAGCAGTAAGATATTTAACACACAAACGGTTATTTAAAGAGTTATCCACATAAAGATACTACTCCCCACCACAGCCACTGTTGGCATATCCTAATTTGCGTGATTTAGATGTACAAATATTGATAGTGGTAGATATTTTGATGGAACACGTCAAGACCCATGCATTCAGACTCTTTTTGTAATGTTTTGGATAATGCAAATCTGTCACTGTTGCCAACTCCTTTTCTAACTGTGTGATCTGTGTGTGTACAATAAACAAAGTAAAAGTATTATTACAGTAGGCTATTGTCTCCATTCATTTTTAAAAAGTGGATATTTACAACATTATCGATACAGGTATGCTGTATTGCATGTGTGTTCATTTTTACAGATTGTACAGCTTGATAGTCAACATAGTCCAGCAGGGTTCTAGTTAAGGTCCATAAGAGGGGTCTGAGCCCTTAATCATGGATCTGTGGGGGTCAGTTATTCATTTACCAATAACCATTATTTTTAATCACAAATGTACATTATATTAATATGATAAACCCACTAAAATAAACAAATTTTCCAAACGAACTATGCTGCATGAATGTCATTATGACATGATTAATTATTAATATGATACCATAAAGGGCAGATTTGCGGTCTCTCCTTGAGTCTTTTAGTTTAGTAGTTGGTTTATTTCAGGCTTTTAAAACTTAAAGCTTTGTTGCAGCATCACACACATCTGGGGCAAGTAGTGAGTGTGAGAGAAAGTGTTGACCACATAATGAGCAAGTTTCTGTCCAGGCATATTATTTATTTATTAATCCCCACCGGTAATGTCAGTTATACTACAGACTCCCACAAAGCTCAAATTGTAGTCCAGTTTCCACAGTTGTCTGTTTTTCCTATTAAATTAAGCTGATAGCAGTAAAATGCCATAGTATATTACTCTTCAAAGGGAAATTATGAATGAGAAGTGTGTGTTTCTTTTAAGATGACTGGAAGAGAAGCTAAGTTACACTCTTAACCAGCGAGATGTTTTTCTGTGAATGGATGTGGCTGTATGGACGGAGTTAACGTCATATTTTGACAGAATAAATAAATAGTGCTTCAATAGTGTTGAAGCGATATACAGTGGGCTTTGTTGCTACATCGGAACATTAATTGCTAAGTAGAATAGGCTCAAATCAATATGCTATATTTAAGGAATTAGCCTGCTAGTTTCCCGTTACAATGTTGACTAAATAATTAAATACAAATCAATGACATGTCTACGTGATTAAACTTTATAATTTTTTAATGCGTTTCCTGTCAAATTGCATGCTTTTATTTTATTTAGTTTTTGCGTGTATTTCCTTTCCTGACCGGCCTGACAGCGGAAGTGGCCTGACAGTGGAGCTCTGCAGTTGGACCCTCTTGGAACTCAAAGATCTAAGACTTTCTCTATGTACACAAAAGGCCTATTTCTCTCAAATATTTGTTCACAAAACTGTCCTAATCTGTGTTAGTGAGCACTTCTCCTTTGCCAAGAAAATCCATCCACTACACTGGTGTGGCGTATCAAGATGCTGATCAGACGGCATGGGTATTGCACAGGTGTGCCTTAGGCTGGCCACAATAAAAGGCCACTCGAAAATGTGCAGTTCCATCACACAGCATAATTTTGTTCAGTGTATCTTGTTTTGTTTGTTATCCATACAAAAAGTGTAAAAACAACACATTGCAGTTTTACAATGGACTATGTTCTGATCTATTTCTCGGTCAAGCACAGTAACTTCTTGAGTCTTGTCGTTACTATGAGGTTGGCAAGCAACTAGCAGACATTCCAGGACACTGCGCCTTGCTACAGATACTACTAGTTGGCATTTGATGCACAAACAAGATATAATGTGTTACTTAGTGAGCCTTGAGTGCTTGTAAGTGGATTTTTTTAACCTTAGAACAGAGCCAGGCTAGCTGTTTTCCCCTGTTTTCAGTTTTTATGCAAAGCTAAGCTAATCAGCTGCTGGCCATAGATTCATATTGAATGTACAGACATGAGGTGGATATCATGAGGGGACAATGTAAAACTAAATAATGACTTGAAAACCAAATGACACTTCACTCTCATCAGGTTTTGAAAGATTAGCCCCAAGATTCTCTAGCACTAATAAGATGAACAAAATGTATCACATAACCATTTAAACAATGATTGGATTGCCTCCTCTACCTTTTTATTTTGCCATTTTTTGTTGTTTGCTACAATTCATGGGTAATTATAACTATACTCATGATTATGTAAAGTTACATTAAGTTCTACTGTCCCTGCTTTTTCAATGATTGTGATGGTGTCTGGAAACTGAACAAAAGTAGTAGCTAAAATAAATACCTGGTAATCAATAAAAGGGCAAACTACTGAAAGGCAATTGCTTTAGTGTAACTCTACCACATGTGTGTCTTACCTGCCAGGTCTTCTTTGGAAGAAGCGATGCGAGGGGAACTGTTGCCAGGTTCAATCTTCAGGGACAGCCTGCAACACAAATGGTTTCCATCAGACTCAATAGCCCACTGCTGCTCTCTGATTAGCTGATAGTTACTGTCCAGACAGAAATACATCCAACACTCACTGCTGTAATACAAATTCCAGCATTTTAATTACAGAACTAATCAGTCAGAAAATGATGCATAAAGAATGGGTTTACACTTTGTCTTTCAAGAGCTAACAGTTTACAGACATCTAATTGTGCATTAGTCAGAGCACAACAGAGCAATAGGGGTTCACACTGTCAAATGAGGGTTGTGGAAAAGGGAACACATGGCTCAGTCTCTTAGATCCATAAAATACACAGCTATGAAGTGTATTAGTGTTAAGAAGGTATTGAAGGACAGGATTCAGCTGCAACACTACTGAGCATTTGCTGAGGGCCACAAAATGTGAAAGTCTTTCAAGTGATATGGCAGCATCTTTTGAGTCCACTTTGCAGTTCTTATAATATACCTCCATTATTACTATAACAGGGGTTCTGCCACTTATTGTTCCATCTGTCTTCTGACAAATCCATGCGCTTCCTTTCTGATTTTCTGGTTTGTCTTAGATGAATGATGAGATTTTGAAAACTGTTTTAAATAGTTACCAAAGCACCAGCATCATTAAATTAACAAAAACAACAGATACACATAATACACATAAACAACACAGGCATTATTGAAGCAGAATATTATGTTCATCACTGGTGGAGGGTGTTATCTTTAAAAGGGCCAGTATGAAAAGTATAATTTACAGTGCCTTGAAAAGTGATTTGCACCTTTCCTGAATACTTCTATTTTTGCACATCTGTCACACAAAATTTAAGGTTCAAGGTACATTTATTTGTCATTCTACAACACCTGGCTGCACGATTAAATTAATAAAATAAAATTTGTAGCTCCCTTCATGCTACACACACGCACAACATATATACAAACGTTTAAAATGTAAGAATATTTACAGTTAGTTATATACATATATTATACAAGCGTGGGCATGGCAATACGTTCTATTCAATTATTTATGCTGTAGTGGAGAGGATGAGAATGAGGTGGAACGGAGGAGTCTCAAAGAAGCTGCTCTGCAGTCTGCTGGTAAGACAGCAGATACGTCTATATCTCGTCCCAGAAGGCAGCAGGGTGAACAGGCTGTGGCTGGGTGGGTACTGTCCTTTAGTATCCTTTGGGCTCTGCGTAGGCACCTCACCTCACTGATATGATCTTCTGAGCAGTTTTAATCACCCGGTGCAAAGCCCTCCTGGGCCGTGCACATCCCATGCCAGTTGGTGATGTTTAGGGTCGGGATGCTTTCTATTGCTCCTCTGTAAAAGTTACCAAGAATTTGGCATGGGAATTTAGCCTTCTTAAATGTCCTTAAGAAATACAGTCCTTCTAAGCGATCTTCATCAGAGTGGAGATGTGTGATTGTAAATAGACTGCACTTATATAGCCCCTTTCTAGTCTTTTGACCACTTCTGACCAAGTGCTTTACACTACATGTCACAGTCACATGCAAGGTGCCAATTGTGCAGCAGAAAGGCACTAAGGACTCTTGCAGACTGGAGAAGCCGGGGAGTGAACCATCGATCTCCTGATTAGTGGACATCCCGCTCTAACTCCTGAGCCAAACTGTGATATAATGCTGCTCCACCTCAGCTCCACTCATGTAGACAGCAGTGTGCGTCTTTATCACCTATTTATTATAGCGTGCTTTTAGTCCTACCTTCTGAGCCACAGCTGCCCCGTGTAGAGTGTAGTACTAGTACCAGTGCTAAGTTTGTTGGTTCAGTTTAATGGGGGAGATTATATTCAAAGCTGAGCTGCATATTACTTTTAGATACAGGGACACTGGTGGTTGTCTTGAAGCAGGTGGGAATCTCCTGTGACAGCGACATGTTGAAATGTCAGTATGTTTTATTATTATTATTAAACCTTTCTTTAACAAGGAAAGACTCATTGAGATTGAAAATCACTTTTTCAATATTGTCCTAGCCACGATAGGCAGCAGCAAGTCCTTACACAAAATTTGCAAGAATACAATACAACACTACAGATATCAGTATTGACAATCAACTACCTGATTGGCACATGTTCTTGGTACTGTCAAAGTCCTGATCTGAATCCAATTGAGATGCTGTGGCAGGACCTTATGGGCAGTTCATGCTCAAAAACCCTCCAATATTGCTGAACTAAAGCAATACTGCAAAGAAGAGTGGGCCAGAATTCTTCCACAGTAATGTGACAGACTGATTTCCTGTTATTAAGCGTTTGCTAGCAGTTGTTGCTAAAGGTGGCACAACCACTTATTAAGTTTAGGGGGGCAATTACAGGTTATACAGGAGTTGAATAACTTTTAACCTACAAATAAATGAAAAAACTGTATTGTATTTATAACTTATCTTACTTATATTCAATTTTGGTTGAAGACAAATTAATTTGACATTCCCCGACTTTCAGGTTTGCCTATAAGAGCCTGTGGACTGATTTCTATATAAACTTGGGGCATTTTTTGCGGGAAAACCCAAAGGATGTGATGTTTATGTGTGCTCTACGTGCCTCTCCTACAGTGTTAGCAACACTAGCTAACGTTAACTTAGAAATGGAGTCCGCAAACGTCAACAAAAGACTGGCACCCACTGCAACAAAGAGTCCAACAGAAAGTCCAAAGTCAAAGCTAACATTATTGAAATATCAGTATCAGTGTTCATTTTAGCGTTCAGTCTAGTCACGCCACCGTTTTGGCCAATGCCCAAGAGGGTGCTCACTCTCGTAGTGCGAGCATGAGCAACAAGGTGCTGACTGCAGTTAACCACCACTGTCATTAAGGGTTTTCTGAAAGCTACACATAGAACCTTGAAGCGTGACGAATCTGAAAGACGCAAATGCACTGTAGGTGATTTTGTGAGTCTCTCCTGTCTGTACATGCTCAGTTTGGTCTACAGGCACAAAAATAATCCCAATAAAGTTTGTACATTGGTAAATTGGATTCTGCCCCTCATCACCACATTTGGAAAGTATTGAAAGACTGTGGTTGGAAGGTACTGTGGGCATTAATTAGTGAGAGTGAATTTGGTTGTGTTTTGGATGAATGTTTAAATTGCTTGGTCCAAAGAAAACAGAAGGGAATTGTAATGCAGACTTCAAACACAATCTTTCATGTGTAATGTCCACATTACATCATACAATCAGCCTTGTTTCATCTGTTCTCTGTCTTGTCACTACAGTCATTAGTAATGCTCTGTGCAACACAGTCTATTATATGTTTTAAAAGTCTATCTCATCTGAAAACAGCTGCACTATACACAGATGTGATTTATTTACTGACCAAACTGATTCATGTTAGAATCCTACACTGTTTATTTACACTACTGTAGAACTGTACGAGATGCACCAATGGAATTTGTTTTGGCCAATTCCAATCATCGATTCTGATTTTATTTATTTCTAAGAACTATAACTGACAGCATACACAACTTTTGTAACTTTTCTTTTTTGGAAGATTTAGGATCCCCCTCTGCACCAGTATGAGCATTACTACCCTCACTGGTGACCATTCTACTGTAGGGGAGAGTGGGGTCATTTGAGCCTGTTGCGAAGTTGAGCCATCTCTTCTTTCCTGGCAACCATAGACATTGCACACACCGAGCTTCTGGATTGTGTTAAACAAGAAAAGTCAAAGACCACGATCCTTGTACAAGGTTGGTAACTCTTAAGTGGAGGTAGAGGATGGCATCTTGGACACCCACCTCAGGGTGATAAACGAACTGAAGGGGGTCTAGGTAGGTGGTCACCTAAGGTCTGAGATGAGCCGAAACCGGTCTGTCACCTGTTTGTCTGTTCTGTGTGTGTGTGTGTGTGTGTGTGTGTGTGGTGCTCCTGCCTCTCTCCTGGACCAATCATGAGATCACCTGTGGCTCCGCTACACACCTGAGGATGACTCCACAAATAAACCCTGCAGTATTTAAACCCTCTCATCTCCAGATCATCCGTTCACTATAGCGGTATTCACACTACGGCCAAGTTCTAAATCACATCTTGCTCAAGTTAAGCTCACAGCAACTGCCAGCAGGATTCCCTCCCCTTGCACATTTTTTGTGAAGTACTAATAAATCCACTGTGATTGTCCTTTATCGCTATCTCCGTGTCTGCTATTGGGTCCTCAATAAAATTAAACTTAACAGATCCATATTTTTAGATTAGGTGTGAATAAATCCCTAATATTATATTTATAATTATATATTTATTCATTTAGCTGACGCTTTTGTCATTGAATAATAATAGAAGTAAGAAAAACCATTAATATCAACTTTGACATTACTGAGGCTCAGAATGTCTGCCTTTTATCAGTTCATTTACAGATTGGTGGGGACGTGCAGTCATTTGGCAGGTCAGGAGTGGGAGGGGGTCGCAGTTTTTGTCTGAGAGGGGTCCCATAATGTCAGACTTTAATGTCATATCCAAACTACAGTATAGAGCTGAACTATTTAGAATCAATACCTGTGTCAGTTGTTTAGATGCATTTAGTAATATTCCATAATAATACTAATGTATCAAGGGCCTCAGGATAAATAAAGGGATAAAGAAAAAATGTATATATTAATTTTACACCAAATCACTCTTCTCAAATGCTTAAAATGTTGCTTTTTTTCTTGTGAAAAACAGTGATATACCTCAGGTCATTAAAAAAAAACTTTAGATAAGATCCAACACGATCACACCAATGCCATGTTCTTCAGAAATTAAATATATTAAGGTTTGATCACTTGACTGTATGTGCTTATATTACATCCACCATAAGGTTTACTGTGTCATTGTTTGTCTTGTGTATGTTGTTTTTATCTTGTGTCTTTGTGCTGTTTTGTTGGTTTTTAGGGATGGGCACTGCATATTAGCTTAGGCTACAAATGCTGTGGTATGTGGCATTGATTCATGCTATATTACATTTTACATTTCAGTCAGCTGAGGTTTTAATCCAAAGCCACTTACAATTGCTTTTTATGTCAGAGGCCGCCCGCCTCTGGAGTAACTAGGGGTTAAGTTTCTTGCTCAAGGACACACTGGTGGATGTCTCACACTGGAAATAGACCCCGGGTCTCCTACACCAAATATACAAAAAATAAGTAAACACTAAGAGAACTTAAGATTACTCTTTAGTCACGTTGCTCATAACTCATGCTCACAAATCAGCAAACCTGTGATGTGGGGTAACAAGTAGACAACTGCGTGTGAGAAGTCAAAACGGTTTGGAAACACTGGACTGAAGTATTTAAGCATTCTGAGGTTAAGTTTATCTGATATACTTTACAGTATATACAGCACCATGCTTGCTTTCACATTATAAAGTACTAATCAAATGAGGTCGAGTGAGGTTGTAGCAGTAAAACCCCTGAGTATGGGTGTAAGGTATTGCTTATAAATTAAACTTTTTTATATTGCTTCAAGTGTCCCAATAAGGACCCAACCTTTCGTAAATTTTTTATTAAATGTATAATCCTAATGAATTTCTCTTAATTATGACTCATTAATGAGCCTGATGTATCATTTACTGTCCCACCCAAAACCGCAGTCTGAAAAAGGTGAGACTAAGGAATAACTAGAACAAGTATAACCAAAACATCAAAACCACATCCCACCATGAAAATAAAGCATTAAATCCAAACTGTCATGAGTTGTGGCAGCATAAATCTATTTCTGAGCAGAGGATCTAAGACGCTGCCTGAGAAAGTCATCAGTGCCTGCTCGGTGAAGGAATTCCCTGTGGAGAAAGATAAAACCAGCTGGCCGTCCATCCTGCTTCCTGTGCATTGACCACGTCAATTTCACGCCTGCCTCCATGTTTCCATGTGCTAGAGAAAGACTCTTAATGTGACCAAAGTCACAGAGTCAGAGGTGGAGTGTCCACAACAGAAAGATGTCATCCTCTGGGATGGTAAACAAACTTTAATGACTGTACATGTGTAGTTCCACCCCTGCCGTGCCAATCACTGAGATGAAACTTACTTGAAGTTGTCATCCTCAACAAACTTCTGGAGTTCCTCTATGTAGCGAACTGACAACAGATACTTCTGGACATGTGGCAGAGTCACCAAGTGATCTGAAGAAAAAAAACGTAGGAAGAAGTCACTTCTGATAAAACACATATAGTATGTACTGTACAGGATATGCTGTATCATTCTGACTAAGGAAATCAATACATTACATAACATAAGAAACATGTTATGATAGCTCTGCATGTCCACTAAAATAATATCCAGCACTCTGCATCACTTTAGGAGAGGAATACAAATGTCATAGTACAAAAAGGAGAGTTTAAATACCAAAAGCTCCCTCAGTGTGGAATCAAAAAAGAGCAAAAAAACCCCTGTAGAATAAATTTGTACATTCTTGGAAATCATCCATGCATGGGCAATCTACATATAACTCTCAGCAGCTCACTCCGTGGGGATTTGGCTTGGGAACCGGATGGATGGGTGGATGTTTCAAGTCCTGCACTGCTGCGGGGTGTCTAACTGCTAGAGGGATTTATAAAGTATTTCTTCTTGTCTTGTGGTAAGGAGAAATATCGAAATACATAAATGTCTTTTCCGATTGATGCACCGCCCAATTTATTTTCAGTGAGAGGCATGCAGGCAAGTATGGTGGCGCGGGCAATCTCAAGGTTGCAGAGACAAGCAGGAGCAATCCTGCACACACACCAGCCAGCTGCCAAAGTTGAACTGTCATGAACTTTTGTCTGTGCGACATGCATTGTAAATCAGTGGATGAGACACTGATCCTTGCCATTTGTGTGATCAATAAAATACATAACAGTTTTCTAAACAGTTATTGGGACATAAACAAGTATTGTTTTAACTCAAGCTAAGCTAACAAGAATAAACTGTTCTACCTCCAGGGATAAAGTAGTGCACAGAAGCTGTTACCATGGTTACCACACATAGAACGCCTGGTGTTAACTGGCGGAGCGCCCGTCTATTCAAATGAGGAGCGCAGTGAGACCCGGAACTTACAAAATTCATATTTATATTCACAATTCACTTCATACAGTTTATGGAACCTGTAAAAAAAAAAATATACAGAAATGACAACACGGCAACAGTCTAATTTTGTTTTCAGTCTCATTTTCAATGCCCAAACCTAATGACCACCTGTTATCATGTGATTGAAAGTCCTTAAGTCACATTATGACACCTGGGCAAGTTCCATCCGCTGAAAAGGGCTGTGGGACATGGATGAAAGCTTTGAAAATAACTAAGTAAGTGAACCTTGAATTAAATTTTTTATCACATCATCTTCCAAAGTTTGATGTTTTAGCAAATCAGGTATAATAATATATTATATCAATAATTTTAAAAAAAATCTAGCAAGCAGTTACTGTTTACCATAGTTACATGACATCTGCAGGTCGGAGATGACCCTCAGAAGGTTGTTCATCTGATTGGTCCGCTGCTCCGTCTCTATTATACTGTCGGACGCAGGATAGGCTGAGTCAATGTAGATCATGTCCAACAGGTAGATCCCTGGAGGAGACAACACAAGACAGTGAGTCACATAGTGAAAGCCAGCACAGACACTAGCTTTGCTTTAACAAAATGCTTACTTATTGACTTATTGAGCAGTAATTCACATAAAACACATTCATTTCAAAGAAAGAATGTGTGACTTCATGAAAGCTTTTATGACAGAGAACCTTAGTTAGTGTACTCCTTTGGAAGGATCAACATGCTCTGCAATTTACAGATCTAAAACTGCCTGTTACTCTTTGAGATCACTTGTGTGCAGAGCTGATATTTTGGTGTAATTGTAGCAAAGAAGTCAAGGTCAACAAAACATTATGATTCATTAGTTTCAAAACATCTTGCCAAAGGACTGCAGCACAGGCAGGCAGGTTAACAGATATGCCGTGTGTGTTGTCTTTATAAATAAGTAAATGAAATGACATTATGTGGACACCATGAATACACAGAACATGTGATGGAAATCTGGTTTTCCAAAAACCACGTCATGGAGGAAAATGTTGGTCAGTGAGAAATATATAACCTGATAGTGGAGCTAGAGGGACTGTCAGAGGGAGTACATATTCCTTAAACACCATGAATATCCATGCTAGCTCTTTTGACAGTTTGAACTGGTGTTCAAAAAAAAAACTGTATGTTTCTCTGGACACAAGTGTTGCATCCTTACACACTGGGCTTGTGGGGGAAAATAAGCTACCATAAATTTTAAGTGTGAATGAACATGGCAATGATCTTATTCATCGATGTATGAGGTATGAATATTATTTTTCACATGAATGTAGCTCTGTAATACATTTTTATTTCCTTGATTATGGATACTACCTTGGATATTTTCTCTCGGGAGCCATTTGAAAAAATATAATAAAAAAGTGGTAAGTTTTTATTCAAATGGAAGGGTTGCATGTCTGATTTCTGGCATCTATTACCAAGGACAGGAGGAAAAAACCCAGAGCACATCACATGTGTCAGAAAGGACCTGGAAAACATCTGTTGAGTCACCAACTTTCCTACAATTTGTCCTAATTACACTGTACTAACTGTTACTAAATACCAGACTGGAAACTCACCCTAAGCCTCACCACTGTAGGCTGTATCTGATGTGGTGTACGTTTTGAAAAAATATACAGTATATAGAGGATACAGTTTATGCACACAAGACACATATACAGATGGTGCAATGTTTTTCTACGTCATTTTGTAAAATCTCCAACATATTACAGTTTCAACCAGGATTGTGTCAGCTGTTTAACAAACAGTCAGTACAGGTCAGACAGGTCTTACAAACACCCACAAATTAAAACCAACTGCCAACAATACCAATATATCTGCACTGAATCTAACAACTGTAGACATTGTTTGTGACTAATACCTCAACATCCTAACTAACAAACTAAACAGAAATCAGTGTTGCTCCAAACCTGTGCTCATGTTGGCGTGAAAAACCTCCAGAAACAATGTTTTGGGACCATTGAGACCATCTTTTCCACTGAAAACCAGACACTACATGGCTCTTACACAAACGCATACAGAAGCATAATGCATTCACTTGGGGAAAAAAAAATCTGCTGTTTTTCTGAATTAACAAGATAATTATGAGAATAATGAAGTAAGTTTCCATAGGGAAAAAAAGATTTTGCTCGAGATAAGTCATTATTTTGATAGATTACATTGAGATAACATAATGTTTTACAGGATCTTTTCTTCGTCGCATTGGTGCAACTAGGCTCCCATAGATTTTCTCATTCTCTACACAGCAGTGTGAACATCTTCTTTTATCTACATGTGTCTCCTTTGGCAGGATCCCAAATCTAATTACAATCCATCTTGGTTCGTGTGTGCTACATGCAATTTAGGGTCAGCTCTCCTCAGTGCTGGAATGTGTCTCAAACCACCTCACATTTCAGTAGTTTTATGTGGATGCATTTACACTTACAGCTTAGGGATAAAATGTTGTTGTGTAATTGCCTTCTAATCCTTTCTCATTTACAAAAATGTATTTTTTACATGTTGTTTGAGAAATCTTAAGCGCTCAGCTTTCTACAGAACATTTCAGAATGTTTTTTCAATGTGTAGGTATAAAGTATACATACAGGTATGTAAGTGTGTTTGTATAAATGTTTAAATGTGTCAGTGTATATATCGGTCACACTGATGCATCTTACATTTTTTAAGATGCAAACAATTAAATAAATAAAAGGTTCCTCTGTCAGTGGAAAACCCTGGCTGTCTGATGTCTGCTGTGTCAGTCTGGTGGTATTTAATGTTTGACTGACAGTGTTTTATTTGTGAGCACCCAATAAAGGCTTTACTCACATTTTACATCTATACCAGCACAATGCTGGCAGCTTTGTTTACAAGTAACAAATCTTCTCTCTGATGTTGACGACATAAATTTGTGGTCCCATAACTGCTTATTTTGGTTTCCTAGTGACGTTAATAACCCTTCATGAATGATGAAGTTATATAACATTGGTTAAATACTGTTCATGGTGGCCAGGAAAGCCCCCTAGACCTATACTACACTGTTACATGCAGCCAACCCTCCTGCGCACACGCACACGGATGCAAACGCATACACACAAAAAGAGAGAGTGCCACGCCCCCAAAAGACTGCATTGTTGTCGTAGACGTGTTATATGCTAGCTTAGCGAGAAGTTGTGGTGGCGTTCATACTGTAAACAGAACCTTTATTTCCGAACACATTACACAAAACCTCAACAATGTTAGGGTAGCCTACAACCTGTGCATCTAGCACATCTCACAGCGTTGCAGCCAAACTGAACACGTTTTACCAAAGTCTGGTAGCAATGCGTTTAACGCAAATAATTTAACGACTACTTGAAAATATTGAAATAATGACCCATTTCAAGTGCCTCATATCTGGATAAAAATGTAGATGAGATTTATGTCACTTAAATTAAAGACACGTAATTAGGCTAAACCACATCCAGCATACGCATCTTTGCTGACCAGATCACAAATCTGACTACAATCTGTCTTAATGCTGCTACGTATAATCAGGGTCAGCTCTCCTCCAGTCCAGGAACTCAAAATGCACCAGAAGCTGGTACTGCCAAAAAAAGAACAACTTCTGAGTACACGTTTTATCATCTTCACAATAGGCAAAAATGGGGGCGTGGCCTATATCATGTGACGTAGCTCATGTCAGGGAACACGTGCATGAAAGGTGATTGAATGTGCCACATACTATGTAGGTGTTACTGGTCAAAACACACATTCCTTGATTATAGCGATTATCACTTGTGGCTCCACCTAGATTCTACATGCACAGTTTTGCGCAGATTGGACTTCTCACATTTCTAAAAAAAAATATAGGCTGAAATGTAGAGAGTCCTTTATCATGAGATGCTGATCAATTCGGGGAATGTGTTCTTAAGGAGTTACAGGCAGACAAAATGCAATTGCCTTGATTATAGCGCCACCTGCTGGTGGACATGTGTCAATATTAGCATCTGAGATGTGTGCGCAGCAGTCTGGACCAGCCCTGTGAATTTCTCTTTCATAACTTTCAAGGTGTAGGTTGCAGTATGACCACTGGTACTGGGAAGCATGCAGCATTAGTTAAAAGTGACGTTAAGTACTGCTTATTACCATATTACCAGCTGGTAATTCAGCCCTGTAGCCAAGCTTCATGATAAACAGTGTAATTACACTCATCATATTACTGTATGTTGTGTATTTGACATTGTGGTTTAATAAGCAGTTAGCTCAACAAGCAACAGCTGACAATGATCAACATGCAATTGTTACATGCATAGAGCAAAATAGTTGTAGCATGTAGCATGTAGCAGCCTTCACTTAAATAATAATGAAGCAACTGTGAATATTTGTATTTAGTGCATGGAAACCACCGCTGCATTCAGCAGCCTTAAGGAAAAACTGAGGTAATGTGTACTTAACAAGAAACACTCTGTGATCTCAATCCAACACAGGATGCCCAGTTAAGATTCCAACATCTCTCACTCCTGTTAAATCTTCAGCAACACCAACTTTATGTTATTGCACCCTTCTGCACAGTAGACTCCTTGATAAATGTTGTAAGGATCCATGTAGATCCTGGTCATAAGCCTGGAGATGCCAGAATGTAGTGTCGACTTGTCGTCCCACTGTACATCCTATGGCACTAAGTCGGCTTAATGTCTTGGTGGTGGCAGGTGCTTGGTGCGTCATTGATGTCCTAAACATCATAGCTTGCTCCCTGTGCTGGAGATGTGGTTTTGTAGAGCCTCCACATCTACTCTGTTAGTGGACATTTCCACAGAGTAACAGACTGTGGGAAACTACTGATTTTACAATGTGTCTGTAATGGGATTTAAACAAGAGTAAAAACAGACTGGATTTCTGTCCTCAATGATCAATGAATTGCTGGTACACAACTTAAACTTAAAAATTGGACATTATGGATATGTTTCAGAGAAATAAACTCAACAGATGGTGTTTGCTTAGGTGTTTTTTTTTAAGGAAGGGAAAAATAGTTGTTGCAAGAATACTGTCAGTTTTCATTGCAAGATAAATCAGGAGATTAACATTTATAACCTGTACAAAAAAACAATAGATGGAATCTATTCATGCCTACTAATTAGTCTATTAACTAACCACAGTAGTTTCTTCAGCTGCAGCTCATACACGCAGTCATTCTAGCAGCTGTAAGTCATTATTTCAGGGTTTTTTGTGTGGTACTTAAATCCTAATTGACAGTCAGTGATGTAGTGACCTTTCATGCCCTGATCAATATCTTAGGCACTGCAGGCTTTAATGCTCACTTTATTGATTTACTCGATTTATTGTCGAGATCAGATTTGTTTGGATTGACTGTTCACATTCTTTTTAAAATGTGGCCCATATCAGACTGCAGTATGAACTGGCCTGAAAGTGACCCACATGCGCAAATTAATAGTATGATGTCACACGCAGCACGCTGTTGTATGGAGGTAAACATGGAGGCCACAGAGGTTAGCTCATACTTGCTAACCCTTACAATT